AGCAGAGAAGAGAAGGGAAACAAAATGCAAGGGAGGTAGGGAAAGTTACAGAAAATTGAATGCAGATTTCCAAAGAATAGCAAGGAGAAACAAGAAGGCCTTCTTAAATGAACAGTCCAAAGAAATAGAGGAAAATATTAGAAAGGTAAAAACCAGAGGTCTGTTCAAGAAAATTGGAGATATTAAAGGAACATTTTGTGCAAAGATGGACAAGATAAAGGACAAAAATGGGAGGGACCTTACAGAAGCAGAAGACATCAAGAAGAGGTGGCAAGAATACACAGAGGAATTATACCAGAAAGAACTGGATGTCCTGGACAACCCAGATAGTATGGTTGCTGGAGACTGAAGTCAAGTGGGCCTTAGAAAGCATGGCTAACAACAAGGCCAGTGGAGCTTATGGCATTCCAGTTGAACTTTTTAAAATCTTAAAAGATGACCCTGTTAAGGTGCTACACTCAATATGACAGCAAGTTTGGAAAACTCAACAGTGGCCAGAGGATTGGAAAAGATCAGTCTACATCCCAATCCCAAAGAAGGGCAGTGCCAAAGAATGCTCCAACTACTGTACATTTGCACTCGTTTCACACGCTAGCAAGATTATGCTCAAAATCCTACAAGGTAGGCTTCGGCAGTATGTGGACCGAGAACTCTCAGAAGTACAAGCTGGATTTTGAAGGTGCGGAGGAACTAGAGACCAAATTGCTAACATGTGCTAGATTATGGAGAAAGCCAGAGAGGTCCAGAAAAACATCTACTTCTGCTTCATTGACTACGCAAAAGCCTTTGACTATGTGGACCACAAAAAACTATGGCAAGTTCTTAAAGAAATGGGAGTGCCTGACCACCTATATGTGGTCAGGAAGCAACAGTTAGAACTGGACATGGAACAACTGATTGGTTCAAAATTGGGAAAGGAGTACGATAAGGCTGTATATTGTCTCCCTGCCTATTTAACTTATATGCAGAATACATCATGTGAAACGCAGGACTGGATGAAGCCCAAGATGGAATTGCCAGAAGAAATATCAACAACCTCCGATATGCAGATGATGCCACTCTGATGGCAGAAAGTGAGGAGAAATTAAAGAACCTTTTAATGAGGGTGAAAGAGGAGAATGAAAAAACTGGTCTGAACCTCAACATTAAAAAAAAAAAAACTAAGATCATCTCCACTGGTCCCATCACCTCCTGGCAAATTGAAGGGGAAGATATGGAGGAAGTGACAGATTTTACCTTCTTGGCCACCACGATCACTGCAGATGCTGACAACAGTCACAAAATTAAAAGTCGTCTGCTCCTTGGGAGGAAAGTGATGACAAACCTCGACAGCATCTTAAAAAGCAGAGACCTTGCCTTGCCGACAAAGGTCCGCATAATCAAAGCTATGGTTTTTCCAGTAGCGATGTATGGAAGTGAGAACTGGACCATAAAGAAGACTGACCACTGAAGAGTTGATGCTTTTGAATTGTGGTGCTGGATGAGACTCTTGAGAGTCCCCTGGACTGCAAGGAGAACAAACCTATCCATTCTGAAGGAAATCACTGAGTGCCCACTGGAAGGACAGATCCCAATGCTGAGACTCCAGTACTTTGGCCATCTCATGAGAAGAGAATACTCCCTGGAAAAGACCCTGATGTTGGGAAAGTGTGAAGGCAAGAGGAGAAGGGGATGACAGAGAATAAGATGGATGGACAGTATCATCGAAGCTACCAACATGAATCTGTCCAAACTCAGGGAGGCAGTGGAAGACAGGAGGGCCTCGCATGCTCTGGTTCATGTGGTCACGAAGAGTCGGACATGACTTAGCAACTAAACAACAACAATAGAAAGAAAACAAATATACTGAAAGAATACAAACACTTTATTGCTTCACAGCCAATCAGGCTGTAACCATAAACAGAAATTAAACCACTCTTAAAAAACAGTATAAATATATACAAAAAATCAGAAAATAATGAAATAATAAAATAATAGCAGCCATGCTGTTCTGGCTTAATATGTTGAAAGAGAACAAGTGTGCTTAAGAAAGGGGATGTGTAGGGCAAGACTGAATAAAAGCAAAAGAGAGGAAGTGTCTGTCAAATAAAAAAAGGTAGGTTTACAAAAAGAAATAATAGAACAAGAAAACTCAGAACAACTGTAAATATTTCTGATAAGGAAGAAGGGTTGATGGCGCAACAAATGTCCAAACACTGGCAGGAACGATGGTAAGAAGTAATAACACAAGTGAACACAGCAAAGGAAGGTGTAGCAGATGAATTACAAAGAAGGAGAATTGAAAGAAGCAGGCTATAGTTTAAGAAAAGGAGTAAAGAATTAGTTTGTTTCAGTTTCTTGCTATCCGGCTTTACAATAAATAAAGACAAAGACGATTGTCCAGGAAGAAACTCTGAAATGGAACCTGACTTTACAGTAAGAGGAAAATGGGAAGTTAGTAGAACATGTCACCTGTATGTCCACTTCTTCACATTCTTTTTTGTATTTTCTTGGAAGAGTCTCCACTTCTCGAATATCTTCCATAGTAACTTGCTGAGGAAGGACTTCAAACAAGGAGGTCAAGTACATAATAATTGATTTCTTATCAGGAATTTGTACAGTAACATCTGAAAAGACAAATTTGATATTTATTTACTGGATACTATGGATTTTCAAGTTTAAACATCCCCAGAGCCATATGCATTCACTCTTATCTTCAGTTCAGGGTCATCAAACTAGGTTGTTTTTTGCGAAATTATCTAAATTAATGTATTCACGAAGGCTTTCACGGCCAGGATCTAATGGCTGCTGTGGGGTTTTCGGGCTCTTTGGCCATGTTCTGAAGGTTGTTCTTCCTAACATTTCGCCAGTCTCTGTGACCGGCATCTTCACAGGACAGCACTCTGTGCTCTGGTGTAGTTGGCTTGGGAGTGGAGTATTTATGGCTATGAGATGGCCTTTTGTCTTTTTCTGTAGATGGGAGATTAGTGTGTCTTGTTGTGGGTGTACTGTTGTGATAAGAAGGAGAGATTATCTGTCACTGTGGTTGATGGGTGTCATTAGCTGGTCTTTTATGTGTAGTGATCCCCGGTCCTTGTGGCTGGGTAGAGTTTGTTGACCTTTTGCACGCTGTACTTTTGAGAGCTGGGAGCCAAGTTTTGTTGAGTTTCAAACTTTCCTCTTTTTTTATTGAAGTTCTGCTGGTGCTTGTGGATTTCAATGGCTTCCCTGTGCAGTCTGACGTAATGATTGCTGGTTTTGTCCAGTATTTTGGTATTTTGAAATAGAATTTCATGTCCAGTTTGTTTTAGGGTGTGTTCAGCTACTGCAGATTTTTCTGGTTGTTTTAGTCTGCAGTGTCTCTCATGTTCTTTGATTCTGGTGTGGATGCTTCGTATGATAACATCACACTTTTTACATATGATAATGTAGCTAGCTTAAATGCAAAACAAACACAGAAAACCAAACAAAGCACACTACATGCACTGAGTTACATGATCATACTGTACCTTCAGGGTCTAATAATTTTTCTATCCCCAGGTAATTTTTTGCTATGTTGAAGGCATGTTCCAGTCTTTCAGTTGGAGTCATCTTGACTACTTTATTCCAGCCAAAGAGCTCTGGTCTAAAAACACAAGCGGGGAAGAGTACAAAGAGGAAAAAGAATGAGGAACTACATATTCATTAATCTCATAAATTGTGTATTTGTATCACTGCACATAATTAGTACCAAATACCACAAGTGCACAGCCTTCTATAATTACATATGTGGACAAAAAGATCCATGCATATTTTGATTGTAACTGTTTCACAGAAAACTTTAAGAAACTACAGATTCATGGGCTCTGGAATTAGGACAATAATTATGAGATGTCAACCAGATGGCCAAAATTATCAGTGTATGAGACCCAGGTATTCATCCCTATCATAATAGTAATACATCAAAACAGGAGCTATTCAGTTTATCAAAACTGATAAGAAACTGCAAAGTAGTAATGTAGTGTTGTTATTGTTAAGTAATAGTGTCCTCCCCAAAAAAAGAAATTACATTCTACGACTCTGAAATAACCCCAAATTATTTGAAACTAAATCCCATGAAAGCAGTGTAAGTCAACTGTGGCAATTTTGTTCTCATAATATCAATGGTACCCAAACCCTATTAAGGTGTTATTCCCTACTTTACCCAGCCAGTGAAAAGAGGAGTACCTAGGCCTGCCCCTCTGTGGTAAGGTAAAGGTAAAGGTTCCCCTTGACAATTTTTGTCCAGTCGTGTTCGACTCGAGGGGGCGGTGCTCATCCCCGTTTCCAAGCCATAGAGCCAGCGTTTGCCCAAAGACAATCTTCCGTGGTCACATGGCCAGTGCGACTTAGACACGGAACGCTGTTACTTTCCCACCGAGGGGGTCCCTATTAATCTACTCGCATATGCATGCTTTCGAACCGCTAGGTTGGTGGGAGCTGGGACAAGCGACGGGCGCTCACTCCGTCACATGGATTCGATTTTACAACTGCTTGGTCTTCTGACCCTGCAGCACAGGCTTCTGAGGTTTAGCCCACAGCGCCACCACGTCCCTTCTCTCTGTGGTATCTCCATGCAAAAAAAAAAAAAAGAATCCAACAAGCAAGGAGGGGCATTCACAGACAGCTTACACGTGAACAGCAACCTCGACATGTCACTTTCTATGTGGAGAGGGGAATAGCTATGTGAACTCCTGCTCCATGGGATTTTAGTCACAATTATGTTGAAGGAGATTTGGGCACATACATTCTTCCTCCTTCCCACATATTTTAACATTAACTTTCTTCATATCCTAGCCATTCCATAACTTCAATTAGCATTGTAAAAACTTTTAACAAAAAACATACAAGGACTGGAGGAGCATGATATAAACATATGCACACATTAGTATTGTTTCTCCCATGCACGTTTTTTAAATGCAAAACCCAAAAAATATACATTTTTGGCTCTGGCTACTGCTTATCACTCAAAACAGGGATCTAAATATAGAGGAAAGCAATCAGCTTTTTCTCACTAAAATGAGCCAAATGAGCTTTAAATGCATTCCAAGTTGTTAGGGCTTTTTAAAAATCTATTTACTAAAAACAAAACTCAGGCTTGATGTTTTGTTTAAAAAAAAGTGTTGCCTTGGCAGCTTTTCCCCATTATAACTAGTGACTGCCACTTTTATAAGCCACTGCTTAGCATTAATCACCCACAGCTCCTCCTGGATGAAGACTCTATTAGTGCTTAATTCATCCAGCTCTGCAGATTTTGGCAAGCACCCACTTACTTGTGTCTGTGGATCACAGCATTGAAAGCAAGCCCATCCGCCCAGCTTGTGGTAAAGTTCAAAACATTGACCTCACTATAAGGCCTTGTAGACTGACGCACCCAACTCAACAAGATTTTTTCACTGTTTGTTTGCTGCAAGTCTGACATTATATCTTTCATGACATCTTTAACCTGAAAGAAAGCACACAAAAGGCGTTGAAGTACATAACTATATCTGTTGCCTAAGAACAAACACACTCCAGGGCTCTCAAAACAGAACCTGTGCAAAATAAATTAACCCATGCCCAGCCATAACATACAATTATAGGAACTTGTTGGTAATACCTATTCATCCTTCCCATTTGTCTACTTCCTGTAAAATCAACCTGGTGGCAAACTCTACTGGCAACCCATGGTCCTTGGCTAATGTCTGCTGAATGCCAGAACCCCAATCATTTCCCCTGCAGTCAACTTATACAGTGGGGAGAGGAGACATCGTTCAAACTCTTCTATTAGCAAATGCCATGATAGCTATCTTGAAAAGGATCACTGGATGGCAGGAGACTTTTCATTTCGCCCCCTTGCATTATTTGAGGAAACCAAGATCCTCTGTTCTTGCTGCTAATAGTTCTGCTTCCTCTCCCCAGAACTCAGCAGCTGGAGGGAGGGACAGACTGCACCATTCTGCTACTGGTGATTAGCAATGTTGTGGAAGCCGTCTTGATCAAGATAGGAGCAGGGCATAGGGGCAAAGCATGCTCATCTCCCACGGCTATGATGAAACTGAAATCACTGCTACCCTGCTGCTGTTAGCAAATTTAGCAGTGCTGGGATTACAGGTAAAGAAGGAACAACTTTAAATTCTCCATGACCACACCCTTTATTGACAAGGAATATGGACATTTAAACTTCCCTACCCACATGCACTGAAATAGGAGGGAACTGGGACAAATGTTTACATATGTGCACATGAAATGGCTATGTGCTTGCATTCAGTCTCCAACCTATTTACACCCAGCTCAAGTTAGAAAGAACTAGCATTTTTCATATTTTGAAGTAATAAAAAGCTGGCTCTGTTCAAAGCCTGAAACTGAAGTTTTTCCTTCTACCATGGTAGAAAAAAGAAAGACGGTACGGAGAAGATTTTTGAGGCTCACATCCAACTGTCCTCAAATATTAAGCCACAATTCTTTATTTCCCTATTCCCTGTTGAAGAGCCTTTATACAGTACTGCCTTTCAGGCTGTTGCCTAGAGCAGTGGTTCTTAACCTTCATTCCTCGGATGTTTTTGAACTGCACCTCCCAGAACCCCCCGCCAGCACAGTTGGTGGTGAAGGCTTCTGGGAGTTGCAGTCCCAAACTCCTGAGTAACCCAAGGTTAAGAACCAGTGCTGTAGGCCACTGGTTCTTAACCTTGGGTTACTCAGGAGTTTGGGACTGCAACTCCCAGAAGCCTTCACCACCAGCTGTCCTGACTGGGGTTTCTGGGAGTTGCAGTTCAAAAGCATCCGAGTAACAAAGGTTAAGAACCACTGGCCTAGAGCTTCAAGACTGGTTAGTCAGCTGGCAAGGAAAAGCTGAAGCTCTTTCAGTTGCACCCAGAAAAAGGCATCAGATGTACTCTATTGCAAATTTAATTATTCACATCAAAGGAAATAAAGAATTGATCCCACTTACCTGCCAGTGCAAAATTATGCTCCACAACAATCCAAGAGTCAATTTGTGATTTCCATCAACAATGTCAGTTCCTCCTATGTTTACCAGCTCCACCTGAAAATATTGCCTCACAGTTAAATAGCAAGTGCCATGTTTCCAACTCAGACCCGTATCACATTTTCAAGGAAACAGTATAAGCTTGATTTAAGGCGGCCTCCAAAATGTGTGGCTGCAGAAGCCTGCACTTCCTTCATACTTCTGTGTTTACTTAAGGCATTTTTACCATACTCCTTGGCTGGGGGGGGGGAGGCTGTATTTTATAAAGAATGCAAAAGGCAGAGCAGGGGAAGTCCTGTTTATCCTACTACACCCTAACAGGTTCATTCGGCTACAATGTTGGGGTGGGTTTTCTTTAGTATGGCATCTTCATGTTGAGATAAGGCAGCATCCCAATGTGAGGTGTTTCTGTTGTCAACTGATGACTCAATTGTTTGTCATTTAATTTTTATAAAAATAAAAAAAATTGTATATAAAAGATTTCAAACTAGTAATAATAGGAATTTCTATAGGATCTGCTGGAATAGAAGCAGTTCAAAGAGCAGGCTCAGCCAAATTCCCACTTCTCTTTCGGCTGCAACTTGACAGACCAGATACGACTCAAACAAGACATGAGGAAAGGAGGCGCCTGATGAAACTCATCTTTCTTCTGAGCTGGCCTCTAAATATGTGACCACTGGTAATAAAAAGTTTACTTCTTGCAATTAGCAAGGATACCCTCCAGTACACTTTACAACAGTAATGACACACTTTTTCAACCTACTAGCAACACAGGGACTCAGATCATGCCTCCTTCAAAACAGGTAAGGAAAACCAATAAAGGTGATACATATACACTCACCACCCTGGGTTTCTACCTATGTGGGGGAGTGAAGAATCTCTGGGATACTGCCAAGGTTTTACCCATCCAGCAGTATCTCCTCCTACTGGTAAACTGGTAGAGGTAAAATACAGAGTCCCATAAAACACAAAGTCCCACTGCTCTAAAAAATCTAACTTGCCCATTCCCCCATCCCCATCCCACATCGTGGGGTTGTTTTCCATCACGTAGTTGAGCAGCACAAAAAGACAATCATGAAAATTTAGGCAAACCAAAGAACAAACCATATTTTCAGTGACAGAGATAAATATGAACTGGAGTCAAAGCATCCATCTTTGGGACAGGAAGCCATCATTCTCACTCTGAACTGCTTCTGTCATACACAACCGAGTTTATGTCATTAACAAGCTCACAACATGAACTCAGATTCACTGGAATCACTATTCTCAGCAACCATACATTTTCTTTTAACAAGGTGTCAATCAGGGAATGAAGCACTTTTTAAAGAGTGGCAAAAATGGTTATGAGGGAAGGGCAGTTTTGCAGAGAATGAATCATCAAATATCTTAGGATACTGAAGTCCTCCAACAAAAAAAGTCACCTAACCATGTAGTCTTATTCATAACAAACATTTAGCAATTTCATTTAGAACGTTTCTCCTTCCCATGTTCTTTTTCTTTTCTTTCTTTTCTTTTTAATCATACTAGAATTGTAGCAATGCTTCATGGTATCAAGCATCTGCTAGATCTTCACAATCTTTAATTGTTCATGTTGCAAACTCATGTTCAAAACAGAGCTTTTGTCAACTCAAAAAAGTCTAATTATATGATCGCTTTACATTTAAGTCATAGTACAATCTATAAAAGTCAAATTAAGTGTTGAAAAATGAGAGCCATTTGCCCTTTATAAAGCAAAAACTGGCTGCATTTCTGTTCATTTAAAGGAGAGGCCACCTTCTCCAAATACAATTACTCCCCTCCAATTATAGTTCCCCTACACCACATTCCACCAAGGGCCACTCAAGCCATTCAATTCCAGCAGCAGATTTTAGGCTATGCAACTCAGTCCATAGAGAAAACAGAGGCAAGATATCCCTATTTTTAAAAGCATATTTTACTCAATTAACAAAGAAATATTAGGATCAAAACTTACATGGATGTGCATGTGCAACATTAATATTCTATAGCATTAAATGTGTTACCATTTTAATAGCAAACAAATACAGTTCCATTCAGAAGAGACTTGGGTTACTGGTTACCAAGTTTACAGTAAAGAAACTACAACACAGCTCATGTTCTCAGGAATCCAGGAAGAAATAAAAGTTTGTTTCCTTACGTAAAAATTATCTTCTAATTATAAATTAAACATCATATACATTTTCATCTCCCAATGATAATCAGTGAAGAGAATTAAGATGTAGGCAAGCTGTGTTTTATGAAATTTCCCTCTCAAACCCAACACACACCAGAAATTTTTCAGACTACAGTCTAATCGGTTGGATTAAATGCTTGAATTCATAAATAACCTTTTCTTTACCAGATTCAAGGGCACTGTACACTTCAGCAAAATATTTTAGACACTTACATTTTTCTGATGTAAAACCTGAAGTACTTTGTTGACATTGTTCAAAGCATGGACTCTTGTGGATCCACGTTCTTTTGGCTTTGAATACAAACAATGTTCAAGTTTAAAAGTAGAATTAAAATAACAAATACCACAATCAGCCCTTTCAGGAAAAATAAGATGAAACTAAAATGCAGGAGTTTTTATGCAGAATCCTAACTGCATTTGTCTATTCATGCATTTTATCCTAGCTACAATCCTGTTGATATAACATAAATGACCATGGAAATACAAGATAGCTATTTTTAATGGAAATACAGACAAATGAATCAGATCTTCACTGGCCATATTCAGATGTAACAACCATGAAAACTAAATGAATCAAGCTCAAGTACTTGCCATCCATCTCACTCACTCCCTTCTGATAACAGGGACAGATATTTGTTCACAATTTGCTTTGCAAACAGAGAGGCTGTTGAATTTAACTGAACAGTGCTTCAGAGATTCACAAACAGCAATTATTTCCAAGCAGATATGCACAATCAAGGGTTAGGAGGCAATTTTAGACATACTGAAAAGCGTGCGCACACAAATTCACCATGTGAACTTTGTCACTATATGTCATGGATCAAATTCAGACATTTGACAGAAATAAGCTAAAAATGGTAACACATTTGGATCTACAGTACAAATTCATTTGTACATACATGAACCCTCTAATTTATTTCTATCAAATATCCTTGTCTAACCTAGTAAGTTAGTTTTCTAATACACTGCACCACAGCCAAGAAAGATTACATATTGCTTTCAATATTACTGGTACATTTAGGATACTGATTTTTCTGGCATACTCTAGGCATTATTTATCTTTACCTTAAATAATGTGAAGATAGCAATTATTTTTGCTATCTTCCAATTACATTACAGTATTTGATGTCTCAGACAGTCTGGAATGCTCTGAACTACAGTGGGCTATTTTTCCCTAAAGGAAATAGCAATATTTTTTCTCAAACTCAAACCATGAGAAACTAGGAAAAACAATCTGTTGTGGACACAGAAATAACCTTAGCCTTGGGCAACATTGCAACTTTGTTTCTTTTCCTCCTCAGTACCAGTAATAATAACAACAACTAGGTCATCAAGTTATTTTTTTTACTTATGGTGCTAACCAGTGCTGAACAGAGAGGGACTAATACTTCATGGGATTTGGCGATTATACTTCTATTAATGCAGCCTAAAATAGGATTGGTCTTTTTTGCAGCCATGTCACACTGTTGGCTCATATTCCGCTTGTCTATAACAATATTCCTGTGGTACACTGGTTAAACTGGAGTGTTGCAGTCAAGTCTCAGCTCACAACCAGAGTTTGATTCTGACTAATTGATGTTGGGAAAATGTGAAGGCAAGAGAAGGGGACGACAGAGGATGAAATGGATGGACAGTGTCATCAAAGCTACCAACATGAATTTGACCAAACTCCGGGAGGCAGTGGAAGACAGGAGGGCCTGGCGTGCTCTGGTCCATGGGGTCACAAAGAGTTGGACATGACAACAACAAATTCAGGTAGCCAATTGAAGACTGACTCAACATTCCCTCCTTCCAAAGTCAGTACAATGAGCACCCAATTCATTGGGTGCAATGTAATTTGCATAATTATGTTGTAAAACACCCAGAGAGTGTTTTAGCACTATGAAACAATATATAAGTCAAAACTACAACTCCTCACTCATAGTAATACTGAGCCAATATCCCCCATCTTGTAACTGTGCATTCAGGGTTGTTTTCCCCCCTAGGGGTAGAACATTGCACTTATCTCTGTTAAATTTCATTCTGATGTTTTCAATATGGTACTCAAGCCTATCAAGAGGTTTTGAATTTTGTTTCCTTCTTCCACAGTATTAGCTATTCCACCCAATTTTGTGTCATTCACAGATGTGATAAGCATTCCATGCACTCCCTCATCCCAGTCTTTAATCAAAATGTTGAAAAGCACTAGATCCATTTTCAAGATGCTAAGCAGTCTCATTAACGTTAATGTGCTACTGCATAAATATTCTACTCCTCCCAAATCGAACAGCCCTGCTTTGCATTTTCATTAGATGAAACAGTGCCATAGAAAGGCATCAGGATAAGAATGTGCAAGCAACTCTTATTTGGGTAGACCATGGGGGAATGGGGCCTTAGTCTAATACAGTAAAAATATCACAGTCTTAAATGGCCAATGCATTTTATTTGGCATATGGTGTCATGAACTCTCACCTACTTCCCGCCATTTGAAAAAGTGGGCTGAAGCCCCTGTTTATTTGATGCCCCATAACACCTGTTAGTTCTTAAGGTGCCACAAAAAATTTTTTTCATTCTATTGTGTTACTTGTCCAGCATAACTGACTTGCTCAAGAACAAAGTTCCTTCTCTTTTTTCACCTACAATGCCTACATGTTTATTCTTTTTTTATTAAAAAAACAAAATTGCCCTAGAATTTCTCAGGTTAACTAAAGCTCTGAAAATCAATATGAATTCCTGGAGGATTTTAAACTTCTAAGTATATTCCTTCAACTACTATGAGCAGCAAACTGTGCAGGATTCTAAATACTGTAAGTAAATGATATTATGATTACTATTTTGCATTATCCCTCAAAAAATATTTTGCTTACCAATGGATTCCCTGTCAGTCCCTCCAAGAGATCCAAGAGTTTCCTGCCATCTCTGAGATCTGTGAATATATCCTTTACTGGCAGTTTTCCACACTATAAAACAAGACAATAGTTTTAGAATCATAAAATAGTTATCTTTATTAACTTAATCAAGTTTTCCATTTAGTTCTTCACAGAGTTAGGTTGGGGGGGAAATGCTACAAAAGAAAAACAGGACCAAGTGACTAATTACTTTTTCTCCACATTCCTGAATTTTCACTGCAGTCTTTAAAGGCTTAAATGCTGACAATATGACAATCTCTACACAGTCCTCCAGCAATCCTTACAAAGTAACTATCATGCCTACCCTTGCAACCTTCCTTCTGCACCGTTATCTCCACCACAGCTTTTGCAAGCAGTCAAAGAACTTCCCAAGCATTTTTCACTCAGAAGCTGATCACTGAGTTAAGCCATAAAGCATACAAGCTCCCTTTGGTGAAGTGTAATGCCACCATAGGAACTGTAGGTAGAAAAGCTCAAAGCATCCACTTCTGCAGCTATTGCGCATGTAGGTGTTTTATGTGGTTGAGAAAGCAGAAGGGATGGAAAGAATCAGGGCTCTGGCCAGATCTCTGTAGAAACTTGGTTCCCTTCTGTATGCCCAAAAATTTTCCAAGCAATAAAAATAAGATCATGATTAAAGCATAAAGTGTAATTTTAACCATACCTATTAGGAAACTGCAAATGGATACTTTAGCACCTTTTCTCTTCAGTCAGCCTGGAGGATCTATCTTGCATAACAAACAGTTCCAGAGAACGCTGAAGCTCCCATCACTTATGCACCCCATTTGTAACCTTCTATTGGTACACTGGCAACACCAACTGCTGACTTACATTTTTACTTATGAACTACATTGCCATTTTTAATTTTTTTTATTTGTGTGTCCATGTGTGTATGTGCACATGCCCAGAAAGACACGAAATGCTACATACACAATAAGAGTATTCCCTTCACAAACACCCTCTTTCTCATACAAACACACACACAGAGAGAGAGAGAGAGAGAGAGAGAGAGAGAGAGTTAGAGAGAGAGAGAGTTTAATTCTCTCTGGCTTCCATACAACTCCAAGTATTATTCTTTAAATCTCCCTGGCTTCCATACAACTCCAAGTATTATTCTCTTCATTCCCATTCCCCTTTCTCAACCACTCAACCTTTCTAATTTCAACACTGGGAAAGTATATCATAAACAGAATAGGACATGATTGAGACATATAAAATTATGCAGGGGATGGATAAAGTGGATATTCTCACACAGTACCAGAACCAGGAGACATCTACTCAAATTGAGTGTTGGGGGAGTGAGAACAAATGAAAGAAAACATTTCTTTACTCAGCATATTGTTAGTCTGTGGACCTCCTTGCCACAGGATATGGGGATTGTATCTGGCCTAGATGCCTTTAAAAGGGGATTGGACAGATTCCTGGAAGAAAAGTCCATTGCAGGTTACAAGCCATGATGGGGCTGTATAATCTCCAGGCTTAAAAGGAAGGTACCTCAAAATTCCAGATGCAGGGGAGGGGTATCAGGATACAGGTATCTAGTTGTCTCGTGTGCTCCCAGAGGCATCTAGTGGGGCCACTGTGAGATATAGGAAGCTGGACTAGATGGGCCCTTGGCCTGATCCAGCAGGTCTCTTCTTATGTTCTTAAAACAGGTTGCATCAACAAGATTTTAGCTATAATACCACCTATAATGGTAGCAGAGTATCTCAAACTACCATTATCTGTACTCTTAAGTACAGAGGCAAATTTTCAGGATTAAGCTGTGACCATACTGGCTCTAAAACCAGTAGCAACAAGGGATTTCATTTTTGTACCGCAGTCTTTTATCTTGGGCTATGTACCCAGCTAAGAGAGACATCAATGACAATAATGACAAATAACCATTGTCAAGGCCCTGCTCCTTAAGTCCACAGGAGCAGTTGAGATAGAAGATGAGCACAGGAGCACACTTAGTTTTTTGAAATGACCTTTCTATGGCACAGGGAAAACAGTGTGGAGCTGATTACACTGTGTTGCAGTAGACACTCCTTATGAATCATGTGAATTAAGCAACTTGATATCTCATTTTCCTCCCCACCTCATCACACACATACACATACACACAAAACCAAGAACAGAGAAACAACCTTGTAAATCATGAGACAATATTAATTTAGCAGCAAGGTCACTGCTATTTACTAGTTTCTGGTTCATCTTGCGTAATATGTATTATGTACTGTACTCTGATATTTGTGTCAAGATTTTCCATATCATGTGCTCAAAACATGGGAATCTGATGTGGGAAACCATTCAAAAAGCAGAAAGGTCACTATGCAGGGTAAGAACAGTTTCAGTAAATGAAATTTTATGTATTTTGCCAGTACTTAAATTTAGATTACATCTTGCTTCAAAAATACTTTTGTTTCTTTGCTATTCCTTGTATTTCAGTTATTCAAGAATACAGCTAAGTACATGTTATTCCTACAAAGCCATGTGCTCTGCCATATTCCTTGTGTCTAAAAGAATAGTTACATTACGATTTACTTATATTTTACAGGTAGGATAAGAAAAATATAGTGGTGCCTTGCTTAACGAGCGCCCCGTTTAACGATGAATCCGCATAGTGATTGAGTTTTTGCGATCGCAAAAGCGATCTCATAATGATGTTTTAGATAGGTAAAAATCGCTTTGCGATGATCGCGGGGAAACGCTTCCCCGGGATCATCCCAAAGGCCCCGCCGATCAGCTGTGTTGCGAGGGGTGGAGAGAGAGAGCGCTGAAACAGAGCTCAGCGGGGGTTTGCAAAGATTGTGGGGAAGCCACTGAGTCTCTCTCAAGATCTCATTCTGGGATAGAGATCAACTACAGGTGAGACAATTTCCTCCCTGAATGGCTTGGGAGCTTCCTTGCTGTGTTGTGAAAAATCCCCCCCCCTTTTTCCTACTGAAAAGACGGCAGGGCAGGAACAGATCAGAGAAGATGATGGTCTTTCCTTCACCATACGATTTTCAGCAGAAGCTGAAACAGATCTCCCCAGTTATCCTTAGTGCAAAGCCAAGCCCCTTCCCTGTAGTGTCTTAGCTGATGTGGGGTGTGGGACATGGCTTCTTTCTCCTGCCTCCTCATGGAGCCAAGGGGCACCTGCCTTCCCCAAGAGTGGTGTGTCTAGGCCAGTGACGGCAAATCTTTTTGGGCCCAAGTGCCAAAACTGAAAAAACAAAAAAGCCACCGGGTGGTTAAGGAACCAGAAGTGGCAGTGGAAGGGGGGATCCTGGGCACGGAGGTACCTCTATAGCCCACTCCAGGTCCGTTGCCAGCACCAGCTGCTCCAGATCCTGGCTCACCGCCTGTTGGGGTGCCAGTACTGTGGTTGTAGCCGCCTTCTCAGGTTTGGCTGTGGTGGCCGTATAGCAACAATTTTTTGGGGAACTGATTATCGTCGCTATGTGGGGCACCACTGTATAGATATTTCTTCTCAAAAGAAACAGGAACAACTATCTTAAAGATGAGGTGTTTTTTTAAAAAAATTAAAGCTATTTTGATTTAGCTTCAAAACGTAAACAGTACTTGTAAGCTGTCTTATCTTGATATTACTGCAATTATAAATACATAAAAGTCCTCATAAGTAGACATGGGGACGAATAAAAGAATGAATTATGACATCCATAAGAAATTACTGATTTGTATTCATGAAGGCTTTCACGGCCGGTAAGAAATTACTGATTTGTGTTCACAAAGGCTTTCACGGCCAGTATCTAATGGCTGTTGTGGGTTTTTCGGGTTCTTTGGCCGTGTTCTGAAGGTTCTTCTTCCTAACGTTTCACCAGTTTCTGTGGCCGGCATCTTCAGAGGACAAGAATAGCATGCTGATTTGTCTAATATTCCAGAGACCCCCCCCCAAACAAACACAAACGGGTGAATATTTACCCATTTTTATGTTTCCCCATAGGCAGAGAAGGAAGACCAGGCTGCCAGAATGGTGGCTTCCGTTCAGGCAGCCTAGCATCCCCTCTCTGCCTATGGGTCCACCAAACAGCTGATAGGCAGATCTATAGGCAGAGAGAGCAGGCTCCTCAGCCCTAAGGGAAGCTGCTGCTGCCATCTCTATCAAGGGTGGCCAAGTTTCCCTCAGGACAGCGGAGCCTGTTTGCCTTTGGGCTTGCCAAACAGCTGATTGGTGGGCCCACAGACAGAGATGGAAAGCTCCGTTGCCCTAAGGGAAGCCAATGCCACCATCTTTGCAAAGGATGGCCCAGTTTCCCTTAGGGCAGGCTTTGCTGATCAGTGGTCCCACAGGCAGACAGGGCAGGCTCTGCTGCCCTAAGGAAGCCAGAGCTGCCATCTTTGCAAAGATGGTGTGGGCAGTGTGGGTGATGGCAGTGGAGGCACAGGCAGGCAAGGTAAGGAGGGGAATGGGACAGTAGGAAGGGGATGGGGGAAGGCTGTGGGAGTGGGCGGGTCAGCTTTTTTTCTTAAGACAGTTACAGGCTGTCTATTGAAAAACAGATCCAACAAACCAATTCATGGTTCATCGGTCAACAACAGGAAAATTTATGGTTCAACAACCTTGACGAACCAAGACAAACTGCCATTCTGGCAGTTCGTCATAATCTGTACAAGTCAGAATTGGAGTAGCAGGTAATCTAGTGTGACAGGTGCTGTCTACATATTGTGAGTTCCACTAAGGATCTCTGTAAGTTTTAGGTGAAACCCGGACAAGATGGAAATCCTGCAGATGGGGGCCCCTAGCATCTGTGGTCTGGGGGCCTCCCTATCTTTTTTGGACAAGACGGAAATCCTGCAGATGGGGGGCCCTAGTGTCTGTGGTCTGGGGGCCTCCCTATCTTTTTTGGGTGGGGCAATCTTTCCATGAAGGATGAGGTTCGTAGCTCGGGTGTGCTTTTGAACCCATCGCTATCAATGACATCTCAGATAGTGTCTGTGGTCTGATCTGCTTATTTTCACCTAAAGCGGATCACCCAGCTATGTCCCTACCTTGACATTGGGCCCCTCACCACCTCAGTCCATGCACTGGTAGTCTCGAGATTAGACTACTGTAATGCCCTCTA